TTGTTTAATGAGGCTTACTGGCTCCTGGTAACTGAAACCTGACTTAGACCAACTTTAGCAAAAAGGGAGGTTTTGTTTTAACATTTGCTGGAAATCTTGCAGAAGCCTTGGCACTCTGGATACCAGGACCAGGTCATCTGGGTCTGGACCTGCTTCAGCTCTCATTCTGCCTTCTCAGATGTCACCCTGAGGTTGTTCCACCACTAGGACTCCTTGTGAGAAGAATTCCTACCTCTGCAGTAGCCAGTCTAGTTTCAGAAAAACCCAGGGAAGGGTTTTCCAAACCCATGTGTCCTTCTCTATTAGGGAAGGGTTTTGAAATTGGCCATCCACACCAGGGCTGTGTGAAGCTTAAAGAAGAAGCAATTTCTGAGATGGAGAGATGCTTTTTAGGGAGGATGGAACACCCCATATTTCATGGAAGGAAAGAGACCTCATGTCCCAACTGGGTTGGGATATGCCTAGTGGGTTCCCAAAGCTGAACAGAATAGATTTACTCAGCAAATGTTAGAATTTTGTTTTTAGAAATTTGTACAATTCATGCCAAGGCAAGGAGTTAGCTCATAGTAGACACTAAGGGAAAAGGGACCATGGTGAAAACAGTACCTCTCCCATATATACTACCATGGGAGTGGGTATTAAGGCAAAATGGAATATAGGTTAAAAAGATGAAGCCAGGAGCACCAAAGATACTTGTATCTGGATATAAGATATCCAAGTGAACCGTAAAAGTAACAAATAGGCTCCAAGAAAGAAGGCCAGTGATAACATTAACTGGGTAGCTTCCAAAAGACCTTTCACCTCTGGGAGATACATGTTAGGTACTGTTGCTTATTACATACTCTTGCTTTTAATGCAGCTAATTATAATAGTCTAAGATGTAGTAAGGATGGCTTATAACATGCCAGCCCAATTTCAGGAAGGAGATCCCAGACTGTATTGTAGACAAGGCAATATAAGAACACTGCAGCTGCTTCTTGGTAGCTGTGAGAATGAAGAGTGCTCCATGTGATTAACAGCACTTGGGACACCCTAAATGTCAGAGATAGCAACCACAGCAGTGACTGACTAATGACCAGTAGATAATCAAGATGAAAACCAACAAAGCCAGGGCACTCAGTTTAATTAACAGTTAGCAAGACACCTGCAAATGGGAAGGAAGTGACCCTAGCCAAATAATGGACACTTGCATATAGTCATGACTATAGTGGTATATTATTTATGTTTTAATAAATAAAACTTGCCTGAAGGTCAGTGCAAAGCAGCCACACTAGTCAGCCATACAATACAGGCTGGGCAGTGTTGCACATTCCTTTAATCCCAGCAGCCACACTAGTTAGCCATAGAGGCTGGGCGGTGGTGGTGCGTGCCTTTAATCCCAGGCGGATCTCTGTGAGTTCGAGGCCAGCCTGGTCTACAAGAGCTAGTTCCAGGACAGGCTCCAAAGCTACAAAGAAACCCTGTCTCGAAAAGCAAAACAAACAAACAAACAAAACTCAAAACTTGGACAAAGGAATTGGTTCTCCTGTCTTGGAAACTCCATCCTCTCTCAAGAGTTTCTTCTCACTTTTTTCTTAGGTTCTTCATTTTTCTATGATAATTCTTAATAAAGCCTGCTTCCATCTTATACACTCCCATGAGAATCTGTGTCATTGAGCGCCACCATCCCAGGTTGACTTTCTTACAAACTTAAATCATCCATCATCTAAAAAAACCAAAAAACAAAAAAAACAGGTTACACTTTAATGATTGCCTTGAGATTTGGAGGTGGCTTTGAACTTTTTTCCTGTTCTTATTTGTGTGTGTGTGTGTGTGTTTATTAACTATACATTTTCTCCACTCTTTTCCCTTCCTCCCCTTTCCCCTCTACTCTTTCTCTGCCCCCCCCATGTTCCCACTTTACTCAGGAGATCTTGTCCTTTTCTTCTTCCTAGGTGGATCTGTGTATGTCTCTCTTAGGGTCCTCTTTGTTGTCTAGGTTCTCTTGGGTTGTGGACTGTAGGCTGGTTATCTTTTGCCTTATGTCTAATATCCATTTATTAGTGAGTAATTCTATATTTGTCTTTTTGTGACTGGGTTACCTCACTCAGTATGTTTTTTTTTTCTAGTTCCATCCATTTGCTTGCAAATATCAAGATGTCATTTTTTTTTTTACTGCTGAGTAGTATTCTATTGTGTAAATGGACCACGTTTTCCTTATTTACTCTTCAGCTGAAGGGCAGCTAGGTTGTTTCCAGGTTCTGGCTATTTGGATAATTGAGCACATGTCCTTGTGGTATGATTGAGCATTCTTTGGGTATATGCCCAAAAGTGGTATTGCTGGGTCTTAAGGGAGATTCATTCCCAATTTTCTGAGAAACGACATACTAATTTCTAAAGTGGCTGTGTAAGCTTGCACTCCCACTGGCAGTGGAGGAGGGCTCCCCTTACTCCAATCCTCGCCTGCTGTCATCAGTGGTTTTGATCGTGGCCGTTCTAATGTGTGGATAGTATCTCTAGCATCTTAAGTCCTAGGTCATGCACAACTAGCCTGTGAGTTTCCCATCACACTCAGAAACGCTGCATCAGGACTTTTGAATTTTGTTCAGATGCCTATGATATAATGTTAAATGAAAAGGTCAGGTCATGAAATATTATCTATAACAGGTTCTATTCCCATAGAAACTACATGTTCCTGTATGTGTTTGGATGAGCATTTTGCCTGTGTCTTTGTACCCTGTGCATGCAGTACCCACAGAGGCCAGAAGAGAGCATTGGATGCCCTGGCATTGTAGCAGTTGTGAACTGCTTTGTAATTCATGCTGGGAATCAAATCTGGGTCCTTTGGAAGAGCAACCGGTACTCTTAACCACTGAACCATCTTTCCAGCTCCAACTGTATTATGTTTTTAATTTGAAAAACATCAGTGAAGAAATAAAGAAAAAGAATCTGTTTCTAGTTGACTCCAGAAGAACTATGGATATGAAACTGTGCACAAGGGTACACAAATAAGCACTAGAGAAGCCAGGAAAGTTAAACTCATAGGCATCCTTCAAAGGAAGGAGATGTTTGCCTGTCTTCTTGGAATGCTGGGAATAGATGTAGTTTACAACCTGGAGATCCTTTGCCAGCCTCTGTCCAGAGTTCATGCTTTACTTATCCCGGGCCCTTAGGCCATGAAACCCACCCTTGTGAGTGATGTCACTTCTACTTTACAACAGCCTGAGTGACTTCTATGTTATCCTAGAGTCAGGCTGATCCTGACCCCCACAGGCATTATATTTACCTCGTTCCTTTTCCTTAGATCCTAAATCTTGGATTCTATGTATGAGTCAACAGCACCTATCTCCTTTGTGAAAGAAGCTTAAACATGTTCTAATGTTGTATTCAGGGGACTGAGTTATTTGTTATCAAAAAACCTTTTTTTTTTTTCTTCAGTATTTTGCTATGCTTAAGTACAGCTAAATAAACAGCTGGTGTCAGACTCTCAAGGCTTAGCCGAGCATCAGTTACCTGGATTATTTCTCTGCTGGCTGCAAAGCCTGCAGGGACCCTGTTGTGGAATGTTTGTTTAACCAGGCAAAGATGGGTTGCATTTGTTCATGTTGCAACATTTCATGTTTGTGTGTTACCTTTGTTCATTGCATTTTTTAACTATGTAAAGATGTGTTGCTTTTGAGTTAATTAAATAAAATTAACCTGGGCTCAGAGAGGGAGCTCGGCAACCGGTTGACAGGAAGTAATAGGGAGGAGCTTAGCGTGGGTTTTTTAGTTGGGGCAGCAGGGAGGGGAAGGGAGTGCCTTCCGGGACACCAATGAAGAGAGAAAATAGCCAGTTGCTACTCTAACTCTCTTAAGCTCCCAGGTTTTCACCCTAGCCTTTGAATCTCGACTTTTATTAAAACTATGGAGATTTAGTTAGAACTACCTTTAGTGGCAGCAACAAAGCCATTGTCTAGAGGAACAGAATTCTCCAAGGCTAAAGTACAGGCACTGTAAAGAAGGTAAAACAACAGGATTCCCCCTTCCAAGGAAATGGCCTAATACCCAGTTCTTTCTTAGTCTTAATTACACTTAAATGTGATCGATGGCTGCCACATTGGAGATCACGGTTCCATAACTGGAAAATTATAGCATGGGATGGACATTTTGAAAGCCTACACGTTTTATTTTTCCAAATCGAGGTCTCTCTGGATTTTGGTGGTATTGTTAGATGTGGTCTCACCATGTAGATCAGGCTGGTCTGGAACTCATGGAGATCTGCCTGCCTCTGCTTCCAGAGTGCTGGGGTTAAAGGTGTGTGAGCAACAAGGCCGGACCTAGGTTTCTAGCCAGCTTGTTCCTAGTGCTCCCTGTCTCCACCTTCAGAAGCTGCAGTTAGAGGTGGGCTGCCAGGTCCACTGGTGTTTGTGTGAACTCTGGGGATCCACGCTCCCCTTCCCTTGCTTCCGTGGCAAGTACTTTAATCACTGTGCCATCTCATCTCCCAGCCTGTTGTGCGTTTTAATGAGCCATCTTTTACTCTGGAGTGCCTCTTCCTGAGCCAGTGTAGGCAGTATTCTAGCTTCCTCTTGGCCAAGTTTTCTTCATACGTGAATTTTGTAGGGCTTTACATGAAGCGTTCTGGGTATCACTCTTAACCCTTTACCCCCACCTCTCTGTCCAGTCATGAAGATGGTCTCAGGTTGTATGGGATGGTTGGTGGAGGTTCTGCATCTGTGCTTGGAGCTTAGTCTTTATTCTTCAGTAGACATGTTCTTTGAAGAGACTTGCTTTATTGTTTCTGAAAGTTTCTGAATCCCTGCTAACAGAGCTCTGTTAAAAATGAAAAACAGTGGTAGGTGAAGGAAGAAGGATTCATAACAAATGTTCCTCCTGAACCTCAGATACCATGTGAAGTCAGGCGGACAAGAGGAAGGTGGCAGAGGAGAAGCTGTTCCTCCCTGGGGAGGCATGACTCCTTTTTATAAACCTGATTTCATACTTCCTCGTCATTTTTTCACTTTGTTCTGCTATACCAGGTTATCAACCCCATGGGGTGGGATGCATTTGGATTGCCAGCCGAAAATGCTGCCATCGAGAGGAATTTGCACCCAGAAACCTGGACTCAAAGGTAAAAGGTTTAAGGCATACTCAAATACTTGAATATATAGAAACCTTTTTAAAACCTTTTTTAAGCCTATGCCTAAAAGAGACCAGAACAACAAACACAAAAGACACCACAGCATCGGCAGATTGCCAAGAGGTAAGTTAACAGGGTAGTTAGTTAGTTAGTTAGTTAGGTGTTAGTGTGGGGGAGGTGCATGTATCACAGTGCACAAATGGAGGTCATGGGTTAACAGGATAGTTAGTTAGTTAGTTAGTTAGTTAGTTAGGTGTTAGTGTGGGGGAGGTGCATGTATCACAGTGCACAAATGGAGGTCATGGTTAACAGGATAGTTAGTTAGTTAGTTGTTAGTGTGGGGGAGGTGCATGTATCACAGTGCACAAATGGAGGTCATGGGACAATCCATGGAAGTAAGTTCTCTTCTGTCGTGTGGGTGTGGGGATCCGCCTCAGGCTGTTAGGTTTGGAGGCAAACACCTTTACTGGTTGAGCCATTGTGCAGCTCCTGATATTTGCCTTTTAATGCTCCTAAGAAATACCAAAGAAGGTTGATGTTTGTTTATTCAGAGGTTGTTTGGATGCTTGTTATTTACAAAACTATTCTTTCTTGGAGCTTTTACCTTTATAAAGAAACCAAAGTGGAGAGAATTGCATTTGTTCAATTTCAACAGGTTTCTTGCCTTCTAGACCCAAGTTTGAACTATATCCAAACACTACATTCTGATTTTCTGTGAAAATTTAGTTTTTGTTTTCATAATTTATGAGCCGGGAACAACTTAGTGTAGCTACCCGAGGCGAGGTGTGACTTTCTCTTCTGCTCCATGGCTTAGGCTTCCCAGTCTCTCCCTGCTGGTGAAGTACTGAGTACCTTACAGCAGAATCTTCTGGGACCCTCCATCAACTCCCCCTTCACATGCAGAAGGGAAGTTCCAGGGCCTGTCTTTGGAACCTCTGCTGCCTCTTCTCCTTTTTCCTCCCCTCTCCTCCTCACCCCCTTTATCTAGGTATGGGACCCCATACAGGTGCCCAGCAAGACTTGTCTGTTGGGAATCCAGAGCAGGACATCAAGTGTCTTCCTGCCTCACTTTACTGTCCTGAAACAGGATCTCTCAGTGAGCCGGAAGCCTATTGTTTTGGCTAGTCTGGCTTGTCAGTAAGCTCTAAGACTTGCTAGGCTCTGTCTGCCCCAATGCAAGGGTTACAGCATGCAAGCCATGCTTGGCTTTTTACATGGATTGTGAGGAGTTGAATTCAAGTCCTGTGCTTGTGAACCCAGCACTCTTACCACCCCCAACAACTCTATCCCCCAAACACACACGCACACACACACACACACACACACACACACACACACGCGCGCGCGCGCGCACATGCGCGCGCATCCCTTCACCCCCTTTTCTTCTTTCTACCCAAGGCTGCATGATAGGAAACTCACTGTGCTCTGTTCATCATACAGTTAATTCTAGGTGAATGGAAGTGATAACAGAGGGGAAAGGAGAAAATGACAGCTCTAATAAAGCAGATCAGACGTGGCATAAGTTGATTCCCAGCAGCAAGAACTAAATTGATTTAGTGTACTTTTCTGTTACCCAATTTTGGGACAGTTTTAGGTTCTGCTTGACAGAAGCCTGTGTTGTTTCTTTTGAATTTCCCCAATTTGTACATTAAAGTGTGTGTGTGTGTGTGTGTGTGTGTGTGTGTGTGTGTGTAAATGTAACTTTCACACACACAGTTCTGGGGATTGAATCCAATCCTTGCACATCCCAGGAAGCGCTTCTTCCACTGAGCTCCAAGCCGGTCTGGACATAAAGGTTTTTAATTTATTTGTTTATTTGTTAATTTTTTTGATCTCTAAAACTTGCTTGCTTGACTTAACTCTGTTTAAAACATAGACATATGGAGAGGGCAGGATCACACACTTTAGAGGTTGCTTGTCAGAGTGGCCAGGGGAAGGAGCTACCTCCGGGGCCAAGACCAAGGTGACATCATGTGATGAGTGTGTCCAGATCATGGTGTCTGCTTGCATTTTGATGTTTTACTGATTCTTAGGGATTGTGTGTGTGTGTGTGTGTGTGTGTGTGTGTGTGTGGTGTGTTTCTGTCAGGGCAAAGCAACAGTTGAGGCTTCCTTGAGTGAGCTAGACTTTTTAAATTTTCAAAAACACCCTTGAAATGTAATCTGTCTATGGCCCTGACCACCTCTCAAAGTAAACTTGTTTCCCTTTGTTTCACAGCAATATTAAATACATGAAGAAACAGCTTGACCGTCTCGGCCTGTGCTTCAGCTGGGACAGGGTGAGTCAGTGTTTCTTCCTGGGGGCTCTGTCCAGGAAAGACCTGATTGCATGGGACTCCACCTCCTGTTTATGCTGGGAGAAGGAGGGGGAGCCTACAGGACGCAGGAGAGACGGCTTAGCACTCCACAAATGCAGCAGAACCCTAGTGGGTATTTTGTCTGTGAAAAAGTAATTTTCTGTGGGATTAAGCTAAGAGAGTTAACTTATTTGACTTCATAATGGGCTGTGCTGTGTGTGTGTGGCAAAGGATTTGCACAAGGATTTCTGGCTCACAGAAACAGTTTAAAAGGATTATTGAATCCACATCAAAGTGATTAAATATTAACCTGCAGGTCCTTGGTGATTAACTGACCATTTATTTATATTTCATTCTGTATTCAGAATTGGTTCACACACAGCCCACATCATTAGGAATATTTTCCTAACGCGAGCTCTCCACTGACGCAAATTCCCAATCAAGCCAAATCAAAACAAGCCAAATTAAGAGATATCCAGGCTTAATGGGAGTTCTGCACTCTATGGTGGCCCCAAGGGGCCGCAAACTTGACCACCGGGAGGAAGGAAAAGAGACCACGCGTTCCTCTTTTGGGAGTTCACTTAAATATTCTTGGGAGTGGTCCTGACCTTCCTCCCAGCGAGGGATCAGGACCTGACCTGCTGGGATATGGAGTCCAGACCAATACAGATTCTCAGACCTGGAGGCTGGGATAGATGCAAGGGTCTGAGGTCTATGCTCCCAACTTAACACACAGTGATTCTGCCACATACAGTCTCTGGTCTGTATCCCTGTCACACAGTTACACACCAAAGCCAGGGGGAAATCAGAGTAATCCTCAGTTCACAGAGGACTACCTGAGGGTCATGCCAGCTGTGAAAAGGACCTTTGGAGGCCCAGGCACTGGAGGGGTAAGCTGCTGGGTAAAGCTGCTGTTTGTCCTTCAGTGAAAGGCCCCATCCACGCCTTGACCCCTCTCTACAGACTGAGTGGGGTTTACTGAAGCCACGGGATAAATGCAAATTCAAGTCCTTCCCTCCCTAGCCACCTCTTGAGTGACTGAAATGAAATGAAGACTAGAGGCCTCAGCTTGTTTTGGTTTTGGTTTTCCTTTCCTGCTCCCGATTATGTTGCCTTGAGCACCAAGTGGGGATTTGTTGGTAGAAAGTGAAATGCTGGCATCACAGAGAGCCCCTCAGGGGTGACATTTGGGGTTTCACTGAAGGCAAAGATGGGCTGTTGGCCTTTGTCATGGTAATAACATCCACCACAAATGATTAGAAGGTTGTTGGGTTGCTAGGTATGGTGACAAACTTGTAGTCCCAGAGAAGCGAAAGGTTGTTAGTATTGATTTTCATAACTTATTCTCTCTCATCCTCATTACCTCCCTCTCTCTCTCCTCCTCCCTCTTGGTGTGTGTGTGTGTATGTGTGTGCGCACGTGTGTGTGTGTGCATTGGTGAGTGGGTATGTGTGTGTATGTGTGTGTGCATGTTGGTGTGTATGTGTGTGCATGTTGGTGTGTATGTGTGTGTATGTGTGTGTGCATGTTGGTGTGTGTGTGTGTGTAACCCAGGACTTTGTGATGCTAGGCAAGCATTCCGCCACTGAACTACAACTCCTGCTCATACTTTCTAATTAGAATTAAAAGAAAAATGTGTATGGGTGTTTGACTTGTATATATGTCTGTGCACCATGCACTTGCCTATTGACTGTGGAGGCCAGAAGAGGGTATCAGGTCCCATGAAACTGGAGTCACAAATGGTTGTGAGCTGCTGTGTGGCCACAGGAAGGCAAACACAGGTCTTCTGGAAGAGCAGAAAATGCTCTTGACTGCTGATTACACTTTTTTCCAATTTCATTTTACATTCAATTCAAAGTTCTCCTCCCGACCCCTCCTCATGCTCTTCCCCCCCACCTCCCCCTCAATCCTCTCCCCATCCACTCCTTCCAACTGGTAAGGGCTCCCTTGAGAAGTCAACAAAGCCTGGCACATTAAGTTGGAGCAGGATCAAGTCCCTCCCCACCTGTGTTAAGGCTGAGCATGGCTTCCCACCACAGGGAATGGGCTCCAATAAGCCAGCTCATGCACCAGGGATAGATCCTGGTCCTACTGCCAGGGGCCTCACAGATAGATCAAGCGTCACTAATGTCTCCCACATATGCAGGGCCTAGTTTGGTCCCATGGAGGCTCCACAACTGTTGGTGTAAAGTTCCTGAGTTTCCACAAGTTTGATTCAGCTGTCTCTGTAGATTTCTCTATCCTGATCCTGACCTCTCTTGCTCATATATTCCCTCCTTCCTCTCTTTGACTGAGCTCCCAGAGCTCGGCCTGGTGCTTGGCTATGGATCTCTGCATCTCTTCCATCAGTTACTGGATGAAGGCTCTATGATGATAGCTAGGGTACTTAGCAATCTGATGACAGGGGAAGGCCAGTTCAGGCTCCCTTTCCTCTATCCCGAGGAGTCTTAGCTGGGGCCATCCTTGTGGATTCCTGGGAGTTTCCCTAGCACCAGGTTTCTCCTAACCCCATAGTGGCTTTCTCTGTCAAGATCTCTCTTTCATTGCTCTCCCACTCCGTCCCTCTTCCCCCTCGACCGTCCCATTTCCTCATGTCCTCATCTCCTATCCCCTTCCCTTTACTGCCCCCCAGTTTACCCAGGAGATCTCATCTATCTATCCATCCCTGGGTAATCCTCTTAGGGTCCTCCTTGTAACCCAGCTTCTCTGGGGCTGTGGATTTACTTTGGTTATCCTTTGTGTTACATCTAATATCCATTTATGAGTGAGTACATACCACGTTTGACTTCCTGAGTCTGGGTTACCTCACTCAGGATGTTTTTTTTTTTTTCTAGTTCCATGCATTTGCCTGCAAATTTCATGATGTCATTGTTTTTAACATGCCGAGTAATGGTACATTTACACAAATTCAACTTTTTAAAACAGTTGTGGAAGGTTCTTACAAAGGATCAGGGTGTGGTTCCAAGCATCCACAGGGCCCCTCACAATCAGGGGATATGATCCTCTCTGAGGGCCTTCCACTTCTCTGGTGTGCTTACATACATGTATAATATAAGGTCACAGTCAGGAAGCCGACGCTGGTGTGATGCTGTTAGCTGGAGCTCGGCTCTTGCTCAGATCCCCTTCCATACCTGCAGTGTTGTGCTGATTTGTGTAACCACCAGCTGCTCCACTGTGATGGGAAAGTCTACGGCCAACCAGAACCATCTCTGCATCTCTACACAGGGTGCTCTTTAGATGCCCATTTTGATGCTTACTGGAGTTGTAGGGACAGTGGTGGTGGTGAGGTATTGTGGCTCTCTGTTTCAGAAGTTTTATTTTGGCAGGATGGTTTTGAGTTTCTGGGCCGTGATGAGGTAGAGCCTCATGCTCAAGCAGAGATGTTCCCTCGTGGTCTCTTTCTCTGCCCTGGCGACTAAACACTATCATCAGCATCTACTCCAGCATGGATCCTTTGATTTTAGTTTTGCCTGCTGTTTAGAGTGCTCGTGCTCTGCGGGGCTTTCACTGTGGCCCTTGCCCAGGGTCTTTCTCAAAAGCGCTGACTTTCTATAAGCCCAGTGCCCATCCAGTCCTGACCCGCCTTGGTCACTGTTCTTTCGATCTTGTTTACTTCTACTTTCTGGAAAAACTTGTCGTCTTTATGTAGAACTAATGTTGTTTTTAGCATTAATACTAGTTTTGTTTTTGTATTTTTAGATTTATTATTTTTTCTTACCTCGTCCATCCCCATTTTTATTCTTAAGAACAGAAATGCCTTTTAGCTAGGTGCCTTTTCTTTTCAGTATTTTGCTGTTAAGTTCATCATGGACCCATATATGTTCAGAAGGTTTGGAATGAAAACAGATATTGAATGAAAATTTATTTTTGCTTCCTACAATGTCTTTCACAGTTTAGAATGCGGCGTTCTCCTTGTTTGTTTCAGAGTCTCTGCAGGACTGAGTTTTCTGTTCCTTTCTTCCTTTTTGACTGAATGACTGGAGAGACCCATCAGCCTGAGCAGAGGAGAAGGGACAAAGTGGGGAGGCAGAGGGCCAGTTTATTTAATTGATGAGATAAAACTGCGCCTTTCACAAGCCATAGTCCCAAAGTCTCATAAAAGCCAGCAGATGGCTAAGTGACAAGTAGTCAGACATTTGAAAAATAAGATGGCTCAGCAGTGCTAGCTCGTGCCCAGGCAGAAGAGACAGAGCCCTGTAGCTGGGCCATAGGCTCGTTCTTCCTGACTCTCCCTGGGTGAGAGCTCTTGAGCTTTGTTCTCACCGTTCTTACAGAAAAAGATGAATTCTCAGGAATATGAAACATGCATTCCTAGAATTAGTGCATTTCTGGTGAGCCAGGATTACCATGAAGTGTTGTTTCAGGACAGCCCCTCCTGTGCCTGGCTCTTTCAGATGTTATTTCCAGAGCAGTGTGTGCCGTGTTGAGAAGAAACTGAAAGCTGAATGCAACCAGCTCAACATCTACTAACGGAAGAGGAAAGAGAAGCGAGGGAGAAAGAGGAGAGAAAGGAGAGGAGGTAGAGGGCTTTTATTTGTAGAGCGCTTGCTTTCTGGAACAATTGGTCAGTTTTCTAAAAGGTGTAGACTGTGTTAATCTGCTTCCCATTAGTGTAGCAAATACCCACAACGAGAAAAAAAAAATCCGTCCTGGCTCACAGCCTGGGATGATCCATGATTGACTGAGTCCCCGGAGAGGAATTAACACATCATGGCAAGGAGCATGCCAAAGAGCAGACAGAGCTGTTCACTTCATAGGCAGGAGTGGAAGGGAGAAAAGGAACAGGAAGAGACTGAGGACATAGCCCCTGAATGAAAAAAAAGAAATAATGTCTGAGTGAGGTAACCCAGAACCAGAAAGAAACATGGTATGTACTCACTCATAAGTAGATATTAGATGTGAAGCAAAGGACATCCAGGCTACAATCCACATCCCTAGAGAAGCTAGGTAACTAGGAAGATCCGAAGAGGGACACACGAATT